CGTGTCCCTGCCTGGGTAGAGCAAGTACAAGAAGAGCGTAGAGCCTTTTCCCTATGCCCCAACCCAAGGTCACATGTCAGGCTAAATGTCCTCTCTTCGGCAACACACCAGCATGGCTAAAGCAACTTGGGGGAGAAGAAAAGAACTGTTTTCTGGGGTCACCCAGAAATCAGTATTCAGTACCCCGTGTCACAATGACCTGTTGCCAAAAACATCTGGATTAGCCCCAGTTTGTGAAGATTTGTGTCCCCCAGCTCTTTATACTGGTCACACGGTTTCTGAATGTCCTTAAACAGATTTGCAGATCTTGCCTCTATTTACCTACAAGACTTCAGACATTCTTTTCTGTCTGTCCAAACCTGCTGACCACTGCCATCCACATCATCAGAAGTGCCCGGGTAGGTAGTCTTCTCTGTACTGGCTCTGGGGCTCCCTCACTCCTTCTAGCTTTCATCTCACAAAGAACGGAAGGGCTGAAGGGTATTTTGTAAGTAACCTCCTCTGCGTGGTTCCACTCCATCTTAACAGAGAATTCCAGATTTATTCAGCTAGATATTCCCATCCCTCTAGCTAATGTGCTCTAGAGGAAACTGAGTCCAAACCCTGCTCTGAGAACTGGCCTAAGCATGATGAAGACAGGGTATTAACCATGACTAGGAACCTCGCCCAGCACTGTCTCAGAGGCAGAACAGAAAGCAAGACCCTGGATCTGGTTCCTGTGCCCACCAGGTCCATTGTGATCCTGAAGTCCATGCCCCCTAGTTAATTGGCACTCAGGTGAGTTACCACTGCCAGTGCCCCCATGGAAACCAGAGCTGCAGTGACAACGGAGGTGCAATTCACTGTCTTCAGCCCCAGATGAGCCCCCAGATGTTGCAGGCATGGAACAGAGAGAGGGACCCCCAAGGCCAAGCAGAAAACTGTACCAAACCGAGAGAGAGAATTCTCTAAAGCAAGGCCCCAAACAAAGAAATGCTTAGACTCTTATACCCCAGGTATAGTTCAATTTCTTTGTCCTCCATGTATGATAACACACATATCCTGATTGCATGCCCTGTGCTATTAGGTCATGACAGGCAGAACTGTGTCTTGTGCACTTAGGCACCGACCACGCGTTATTTCTTTTTCTTTGTTCTGGGGGATTCCTGTCACACCATGTCAGTGACTGACACAGACATGAATGTAGGAAACACTGAGACAATGAATTAAAACGGAGTCAAACGGAGTCAAATGCAAAGGGGCATGGGAACACCCTGCTAAGGTGGGGGTCAGCTCAGAGCAGGCTGCGCAAAGCCGGGACAGGAGTCAACTGACGAGGGTCAGTCCTACAACCTTTGTACTTCAGTTACATGAGGCAAATCCTGTTCTCCTTTGAGCCATTTGAGCTGGGATTTCTGAGACTTGCAGCAGAAACACCCTAACATACAAGGTGTCATAAACACAAAGTCCCTGTCTCTGAGAGAGTCAAAGAACACAGTTCGTTCCCTGCTGGAACATACTAAACAGCTTGTGCAAGTGGTTATAAAGAGACCTTTCAGGTCCCTCTGACAAAATACTGACTTCAGCCTCCTGAGGCTCTTTGTGTGTGTGTGTGTGTGTGTGTGTGTGTGTGTGTGTGTGCACGCGCACGCGCGCAGCTGCTGCCTTCGTGCTTCCACAAAGATCTCCAAAGTAGTCACAGCTGTCAGAAAACTTATCCAAATAAGCAATAAGAATAACCAGAGGTAAAACATGCAAAATACCATACCTGAAGAACACCCTTCCCGGAGGTTTACATGAACCAATTCCTAAAGGCTTCTCTGACCTTGAACTCCACCACCTGGGCTTTGTAGAAAACCAAGACACAGTTGAAATCAACCAACCATATCAGTGCCTATGGTTACAGTTCCATCGCTACCTCAACAAATAGCCACAATACTATGCTGAGTAACAGCTGCTAATCTTTGGTACAAACTCAGAAATTCAAGCAATGTTGATCTAGAAGTTCTAAAGATACTTCGTTTTAGTGAAAATATCCGAATTCCTATATAGACTAATTGATGTCCTGGTTGTACTTCCATTTTCCTTTGTATTCTCTGGTATTATAGCCAGAGAGATGAGCAAATGGTTTAACACATGTACATGTACCCAGATGCATCCTTGGATGTTCACTCCACTCCAAATAAGCCTGTTACTGACCATTTGGTAAGTTCTCTTCCTGGTGAGCTGCAGAGCTTTTAGCTTTTAAGTCAGCTATTGCTCTGAAAGCCTTGCCAGCCACAGCTTCTAACAATTCAACTTGCCTCCTATTAGGAGCTGTTTCAGCTATTTTTGGTATGTACGGAGAGTATAAGATATTCTTTCTTGCTTAGAGGGGAAATTTTCCATTTTTGAACCTGAAATGCTTTCAGAGAGAAGAGGCATTACATTTCAAGAGTTATAAAGCGTTCCCGTTCCTAAGATCACAATGGTATCCGAATGCTTCTAATGCACAGAAAAATGTCAGGGAGGAACATTTCCATCTTAATGAGCACCTCACTCATAACTCTCTAAAGGCAAGTGTCATGACCTTAGAAATATTCCTCGATGTGAGGAAAGCCGATCTGACTTCACATTGCCGTCTATATCACTGTTGATCTTGTACACTGCGGTGTGGGGTGCAGGTATCTCATTACAATTCTCAAGTTAGCATACATCAAACCTGTATTCCCACTAAATAATTTGTTGGTTTAACAGTAGGAATAACATTAGCAAGATGGTAGGCTAGAACATTCCTACTCTTATTTCCCTCATAGAAAAAAATGATAACTATTAAGGTTTGAGTCTGAACTGTCCCCCCATGGACTCATATGCAATTCCAGCGGGTGGTGCTTTCTTCCAGAGGCTACAGAGCCAGGCTAGAGCAGTGGGGCATTGGGGTGTGATTTTGGAGGCTGCGGCTAGCCCTGCTGCTGATTCTGCTCTCTGTTTCCTGGTCTCTCCACTGGACACTGCCACCGTCATGTACTGAGCCGCTGTCCCCACCACATACTAAGCTACTCCTGCTGCCCTGACTCCCCCACCTTGGTGAACTGAAACCATGAGCCAACCCTCCCTCAGATTGATTCTGTTAGCATTTTGTCACACTGAAAAGTTTTAGTTTGAGGCTCAAGGGGGACACTGGGGCAAATTGTCATTTTGAGTAAGGATTTATTACAATCATTAACGTCATGAGCAGATGGATAGACAGATAGCATGGTGTGGACTCTGAGGAGAGTTCAGGCCCACAAGGCAGGGTGGGATCCTTTCTTACAGGTTTCAGAATAAGAGAGAGATTTTCATGCTGTGTGGTTGATGAGCAGATAGGGTCTGCAGTTGGGCTGTCCCTGAGTCCTGGGTGTTAGGGAGAGGGGAGAGAATTTGGGAGAAGAAATACGAGACTCTGAAAATGTAGAGAAGTGACATATTTGGCTAAGTTACACCCATTATACTAGTGGAAGATGTGCCTGCACCTGGTAGCCCCCTGATGCCCCACAGTCTGGCACCCCGAGCTCTGTAAATTTGTTGGGGGAAGTGAGAAAATAGCCTCCACTATTCTGGAATCTGGCCACCTAGGGAGTCTGGTATGGGGTTAGAGATTCCCAGACAGACTCTCTCAGTAGGGGGCATGTCAGTAGCTATGAGGCTAGAGAAAGAGAGGCTGCTGGGGTCTGCATGGCAGCCACCTCTAATCCCAGCACCTGGGGAGATGGAGACAAGGGGTTCTTGGAGTAAACTGGTGTGATAGACTGGCAAAATTGGTGAGCTCTGGTTCAGTATAAGACCTGACTTCAATAAATAAGCTGGCAAGCTATGGAGGAAGACATCCAGTGTCAGCTTTGGTCCTGCACGCACGCACGAGAAGGGAGGGAGGGAGGGAGGAAGGAAGGAAGGAAGGAAGGAAGGAAGGAAGGAAGGAAGGAAGGAAGGAAGGAAGGAAGGAAGGAAGGGCGTCTGACCTGAAAACAAACGGCACTAACGTTGAGCTGTAGCGCCCTCTAGTCTTCATAGTTGGCATAGCAAGAAGATGAGAAGGGGAGAGATGTCTACTTTGAAAGGAAGCTGTAAACCAGAAAGAAACAGGACACAGCTCAACGCAGATGTGATGGGTCTTGTGCTCTTACCCCCTGGCTGGCTGTCGTTCCTCTGACGGTGTAGCCCAACATGGAGTCACTGGGCTCTAAGCAGGTCTGTATCTGCTCAGCTCCAGCCCCAGGCTAATGCCTGCATTTGACTGCACTGTCACTGTCCTCCAGAACAGACTTAGCAGCACAGGGCCACCATCAAAGCCTTCCTTGATGTCTCCAGCCTGGGATGTGACTGTGAGGGATGAAGGTCAGGAGAATGGAAACCAGCAAGAGACCCCTGGCCTCTGAGCTCCTCTCCTGCTGGTGGGACTCAGGGGTTCCCCCTCCATCTCACCGGGGCTGAAGCCGTCTCACCACAGCTGGTAGTGGGCAGTTCTCAATCATCTCTTTTAGAGCTGGCAACTGTGGCTGAGTCGCTGTTGGACTTCTCTTTTGCTTTGTCCTAGGTCCTCCAGCAGCTGCTGCCTGCTGGGGCCTTGCTCACACGTTCAGAGTTAGAATCATCCTAGTAGGCCCCTGCTTGGGCAGAGCCCTGAGCCTGGCTCCTGACATTTCCAGCACAGAAGCTCCAGTCCCTACAAAGCTAACCTAGAGGCTTGGGGTCTGCCGTCTCCTATTTGCAAATTCACTGCCTCCTCAGAATCCACTGCATTCCTTTGCTTTTTCTAAGCTCCTGGGGTCACCTGTTAATCCACTTCTCCGAAGAGATTTCATGTAAACAGGACTCCTACCCTAGGCATTTGTACCCTCCTCTGGGCCCTTCCCAGACCACAGCTCTGGACATGATATCACAAGTGGAAAGATGAGGTCTTGAAATGATCATTCCCTGGAAGGTTCTGGAAGCCTTTTACCCTTTATGGCTTCTGCTGACATGCCACCCTGCTAAAGTTGATGGAGACACAGACCAAGAAGATGTTTGCTTTGAGAAAGATCCTTTATTTAGCTTGCTCTATCACAAGGAAAATTGAGGTTGACACCGCAGGCCAAGAAAGTAAGTTAGACAAGTCAGAAAGAAGATTCTATCTAGGCCAAGCTCTGCTGCTACGCGTGTTTGGCTCCCAGCTGCATGTGGGATTGTAGACAGTGGCTCCATTTTCCTATGACATTCTTCCCAGACTTGAGCCTGTAGATCTTGGAAAAACGACCCCTGTCTTTCTTCACTGCCACCTCCTCACACCCTGCCAAACATTTGTGCTAAGAGAAGCTAAGTCACAACACGTAGCTGGGTGTCAAGTGCTACACCCTCACGTCTTCCACCTTCTCTGGGAATCTGAGCACGTGAAACCAACGTCCCGTCAGTTTCATTTCACATCTTAGTGCTCAGAGGTTGGCCATGGGCTGTGCGTGTTCTCCTCCCCAGTGTAAAGGCTGCTACTGCCAGGACAATGGCCACGAAGACCCCCGCAAAGATGGCAACGCTGGGATAGACCCCCTGGGAGCTGGCTGGCTTCTCCACATCCTCCACTGCCAAGTCTGGGGGAGAAAAAAGGGGGCGATAGAGCTGAGACCAGGACATGGCCCAGAAGAGAAGCACAGGAGAGGCAGAGAAGGGTGGTGGTCCCCATCTGAAATGTTCAGTGAGACGTGATTAAGAAATGAGAGAGGAAACTGCTGCTAGACTCCAGGGGACAGCTGAGCATTGGGCAACAGGCTCCTCTGTCTTCCAGATTGCAGCTCTCTTACCCGTGCCCTACATGTGACCTTGAGTCTTACAGGAAGGCAAGAACCAGGCTTGATCCACCAGTGTGCCTAGGCATATTTTGGTGTACAATTTGGGCTGGACCATGCTACCAACAGAAGGACCCGAGTACCCAAAAATCATGGAACTGAATCTCAGCAGGCACTGGGATCTGAGGGTAACCACTTACCCAAGCTCTTCTTGACTTTGTTAGGGGGTTGCAGCTGGATGGGTCCCAGTACAACATCCACCTTCTCCTGGTAGGAGCCCACAGCCCTCTTGGACCTTGTCACGCAGCCTCTATAACACCGGGAAGAGTAATCGTAGGCTTTGCACACCACCATCTTACACTGCAGGTACACTGAGGGAAAACGGTTCAGGAAGTGGAAGGAATTGAATTTAAAGCGAGCAATGCGTGGTGACGGCTGAGAGTAGGGTCGGTAGGTTTCATCTCTTACGCACCTAGAAGAAAGCAAAGCAACTTGTCAGTAAGGCACCATACTCATTGTGACTCTATTACACTTGCATGGAACTCCACATCATCCCAGCTGCCTACGTCCCTATGTTCACGTGCCTAGGTCCCACACGTTCCAGTGAGGTGGACCCATAAGTCCCAGCAGCTCTGGTGTCCCATACAGAAAATCCCTTGGGGTATCCAGACAGACAAGCAGGCCCCATACTGCACAGTGGGTTGGGCTCAGTCCTGCCGTGACAGTGAGCTCTTTGGGCTCAGGTAAACCAGGGAAGTCGAGGAAATAGTTTGGAACCCAAGAGCAGGCCCGCAACAGAACAGGAAGGAAGATGGCCACGTCTTCCTTTTCCTGGTCACAGGGCCCTGCTGGGTGTTATTCAGTTATGTTCTCCCTGGTTTCCCTCTCCTGGGCCTTCTCCGCCAGGCCCACTCATTGGATCTGCCCTGCCCCTGTGCAGCTACACTTCTGTGTTGGCCGAGGTTCCCTCCAGGCCCCTACTCCAACATCAAGCACTTCCTCTTCCCTCCTGCATTTTGTCTCAGATGGTAATAGAAGGGAAATGTCCTGCCAGTCTGTTTAAGGAACTAGACAGGGAAGAGGCTGATGCCAGCTGACCACCCACATGCCTTTATAATAGTGGGGCTTTGAGTGATGGGGCAAGAGAGAAGCAAGGGCAGTCAGCTTCGGCTTTGGGGTGGGAATGCTTCCTGGGTGGATGGCCATGGTCCCAGGGCAGCCTGGATCTCCCAGAAGATTGATTCCAAGTCTGCTTGCCCTCTTCCCTGTGCCTGCCCAGAGCTGCTCTCCTGCCTTTACCTTCAAGTCAGTTGCTCTTAAATACCCAGATTCCTTTCTCCACAGCATCCCCGTTAGCATCCCAGGTAGAAGGAAAATACAGGGATGGGGAGGTGACTCATTCAGAGTGCAGCATTTCAAAACAACCCAGGACAAGCCAGGAGCTCTGTGCAAGCCAGAACTGCACAGTCCAGGCCAAACGGGAAGTTTATTCTCAAGGGCCTCTACGTGGATGGTGCAGTTGAGGACCAGGTGCAGCTGGTGAGTCTCTATGATCCAGGCTCAACTGGGACACTGAGGCCCCCACACCCTCTGCCCTCTGCAAAGAACATCATCACATATATGGAAGAATGTCACCACTGACACCACCAATCCTTTGGTAGAAAAGAACTTGCTCACTCAATTGTGTTTATTTCAATCATTTCACATCCATTCAAAAACTACCTTGCTACTATTTGAAGTGAAGGAGTCTGGGTCAGCTTTCTGTCCGTATTTACTGCCTCCAAGGAGGGCAGTCCCACATCGAACCAACCATGCAGACTGGACAAGGTAAGTCTCAACACCTGTTTACTGACTGATACATATGCAGACTGTGCCTAGGAAGTGATGCCGTCCTTGGTATCTCAGCCACTGCCCGAATTCCCACCAGCATTCTTTACCCCGTTAGTGTAACTCATGGGAAGCAATGGCTACTGAGGCACCATGGGCCACACTGAAAGCCAAGAAGTACCATACCACTCACCAGCAGAGACTACACGGTAGGGATTGGACTTGCACAACCAGCATCTCAGGCCTCCTTCAAGAGTGTAGGAGAATCACACCCTACCTCCCCAGAGAGCCTCCTGCAGGGATACTGAAGCAAACAAGAAGCACAGCCACCCTGGTCTCCACTCACTCAACCTCAGCACCCCCTGAACCAGGCTGGAGAACTCACATTCTCAGATGATGAACACAGGGACCACTGCTGTAACACTCTGGCTGACTAGTTGGGGACACTGTGTACTCAGAATCCATCCACTTTTTTCATTTTGCCATCCCAGCATCTAATTTTTGCCACGATCTCCAGGTGACTGCTGAAGAAACTGGCCCAGAGATCTGTACACCTCAGCTTTGGTCTGCTCTCCAACCAATGCTTTTACCATGGCATGTTTATCTTTTCAACCCTAAGGTTTGGTCACCAGGAATCTAAACCAGTTTACAGCCAAGTTGAGTGACCATTGGCGAGTCAGTCCTCTCTTCCCACGTGTTAATGATGATGCATAATAAACTGCCCCTTCACTCAGGAATATGACCCAGGAAGGAGCAGGAAAGGATCTCAAAAAGCAAAAGCCTCAGGTAGGAAGCTGTCCAACCTGAGGCCCTGGGAACTTTAGCTAACCAAAAATCTGCATTTCTGGAGACTGTTGGGATACTTGTGTTTGAGTGATGAGCCAAAAATTTCAATTTGCCCCATATAGACAGTCCTTACCCACTCCGGATGAGATCATAAGTCAAAGATGAGAAGTCATTGGGGTATGGTGAAGCCACACAGGTATCCACAAATAAGGCCAGCGAGGCATCGGAATGGAGGATTTCAGCTTGAAGGTACAAATTCTGGTTCAGGTCCACGTAGTATGGACTGCTGGTCACGGGATACCGGAAGGAGGAGGATGTATAGAAGGAAATGTTCAAGTCAAATTTGCCGTACTGGACTTCCTGGATCTTGATGGTGTCATTGGTAATGTACATGGTGTTGACCCAGGTGTCCTGGAGCATCTTGCAGCTGACATGGATGTGAAGGTCCTTTTTCCTTTTGATGACGCCATTAGAAACAGCTGCTCTGAGGATGTTGGAATAATTGATGGTGTCATTGTCTGCCTAAGAGAGGGAAGCAGGAGAGCAGATCAGACAAACGCCACCTTCTAAGGAAATTTGACCATTGATCTGGGTTTGAATGATAAGAAAGTGACCCAACAAGATTTCAAATCCTTGCAGGAGCACAGTGACGGCACCTGCCTCCCTGTCTGGCTACTAGTACCTGAGATAGATGTCAGCTTAACTAGCAAAATCCTATCCTCGCACTCTCCTGGTCCCTCTAGCACATAATATTGGGGCCACAGTGAACATCAATTGTTACTCTTCCTTTTGGAAAAAATGTCCAGATGGCTCCTTGACCTGTTATGTGACTGACTGAGCTCAGACCTCAGTGCTCAGTGCTCAGTGCTCAGTAGGATCTCCTGTTTCATTCTTACTGTTGCTGGGGGACTTGGAGAAGGAGTCACATACTTGTGAGAGGGCCCCAGTTAGATCAGTATAGAGTACTTTCTGTTGTAAGGGACTGGTCACTCCTGCAGCATGGTGATTGACACTGGGAACTGGAAACCACAGAGATCCACAGTTATAACAAGCACTCTTTTCTTCTGGGGTCAGGACTTCTGCAGAGGCATGTGTGGACAACTGAGTGGGTTATGGCCACCCTGAAGTCTCCTTGCTAGTCCATAAGCCATCTGTTACTGTGCCTTTCCCTGAGCAGCAAATTCATAAGGAGGCTGGGGCCTTGTGCCATTTTATGTCTACTGTCTCTTGAGAGCTGCCCTGCCAAGGAGAGGAACTTTATACATGGGGCCTGTGTGCCGTCTTAAGGGAAGGGTGTCTAGATGTGTCTTCTACTTTTGTCTTGGTACAACAACAGCGTGGATAGTACCTATAAGTATCTGTAAACTGGAGGAAAGGAATAAGGCCAGTGGCCCAGCAGAGGCACTATGAGAAGAAGACAGCAAGGAGCCCTCAGCCTAAGGCTGGCCGAGAGAATACAGTAAGCAATACCCCTCTCCCCCTGAAGAACCATGATGTGACCATCTGGCCCCCAAGCAACGTGAGCATAGGCGTGCCATCGCCAGGCTGGGGACGGTGGAAATTCTTCACAGCCTGAATGCTATGATGCTCAGATGTGTACGTTCTCCCAATCTCATATGTTCTGAGCATTATGCCATGGGTGCTGTTGTCAGATGTGCAGGAGAGTAGCACCATGGGGACCTGAATGGAAGTCCTACCTCTAAGGCAACTGCACTGTCCATAATGAAGAGAAAAGGAAGGGCTAGACAGAGAGGCGGGGTGCGGGAGGGGTGGGGCTGTCTTTCCATTTTAGTCACGTGCACCTTGAAGGGCAAAACTCCATTCTGAAATGGTTGGGACTTGGACAAGGTTGCTTGCACTTGTACAACTTAAATATTCTTCAGAACAGGAGCTTTTCCACATCTGCTGATGATTGCTCTGAAAGTGTCTTCAGACAAAACTTGTGAAGGAAGAAAAGCTTGAGACACAAGAGCTGTTGCCAGACTTCTTGGACCCCTCCTTTATCTCCTAGTTTATCTCTCCTCTCCTCAGACCTATCAGAGCCTGGGTCAGGGTCTACCTGGTGGACAGAGGGCGCCAGAGCCCATACTCCAGGCTGAGATCTGGGGAGGAATCAGCAGAAGGGACTCTGCTCTCCATTTACTCATATTTTGTATTTGCTCCCTATAAATTCTCTAAAATCTTTTAAAATTTATTTTCAGCACCAATGGTGGTTATACTAAACCATATGAGTCTTTCAAGACAAGCTCAAGGGGGCTGGAGAGATGGTTCAGCAGTTAAGAGCACTGGCTGCTCTTGCAGAGGACCCAGGTTCAATTCCCAGCACCCACATGGCAGCTAACAACTGTAACTCCAGTTCCAGGTGATCCAATGCCCTCTTCTGACTTCCATGGGCATTTATGACACAGGTACACTTACACACATGCAAGCAACACACTCATACACATAAAATAAAAACAAATATTTTTAAAAGACAAATTCAAATTATACTTGAGTATATTCACAGAACCCAGAGTTGTCTGTGGTTTCTGTGGTAGAGCTCAATTCTGTATCTACTCAACAATGAATATGAAGTACAAATTTATTCCTTGATCAGAAGAAGCAGTTCTAACTCGATTAAAACTCAGGCTTAGGCATCTGTGCAGTTGGGAAGGCAGTCAACCTGTATGCAATATAATAGAAAGTCTTGTAGATGAGTCAACTAGCATTCCCATTGAACTACAACCCTCTTACTGTCTTGGGATTCCTTTCACTGTGGGAGGTCTCATCCCTTCAGTGATGTCAGCCAACATGTCACCCACCCACTGAGTCATGACATCCTGGAGGAGCTGTGACTCCAACTATAGAACATACTGACTCCACAGTCCATGACCATGTGGCTTAGGCGTATGACTTAGTTTTTCTCCAGTGGCTAAGTGTGAATAAAGGTGTGACTTTTAAAAGTCACATAGAACCCTTTAGTCAGGGTCTGGAGTATACAGTAGTTGCTAATAGTACTATGAAGTCTTAGCATCTGTAAGGGCACTGAGGATGGCAAAGATGAGTGAAACGTTGTCCCTGCCTCTCAGGTACTCAGTATGGTAGGTGACGTGGGCACTTAACTGAGTGCGGAAACAAAATGAAGAATATGTTGCCTAGTCCAGCCAAGTTAGAAAAAGCAGAGCTGGCACACTGCCCAACTGTTCTTCATTCTAAGAAACACCACCAGTGGGTCGCTCAGATGTCTGCTTCTCCAGGCTACACACTTGAACAAGGAGTGATAATCATCTGTGGTGGACTGATGCTCAGGAACAAGCTCACGACAAGCTGGAAGCCTATGTGATTAGTTGGCCAAATGGAAAAATCAGGCTGATTAAACCACTTCCTTATTGATAAACACTCTTTCCTGCAAGTCATCTCACCCACCAAATGCCTCTCAGAAGGAGCCCCAGTGTGTGTAGGGTCTTATCAAGGGAGCCCGAACTTAGCCATAGGCGGCTCAAGGCCCCTCTGGTTAGCTGAGTGTCCCCCTTCCTCTCTCAGAGTTTCAAAGGAACAGGAAGGCATTTGCAGTTAATGAACAGTATCACCTGACTACCTCTCATAGTGCCTGGCAAATTATAGACATTTGAACATGAGTTTCCCATATACATTGTACATAGGTGAGCATTTCAGACTGGGTGTGTCCTGAAACCATAAGCAAGCAGACAAAAACACGGCATTTTTTCTATACCCAACACAAACCTTGAAATGATTACTTAGGTTTCAGGTAAAACTTCAGAACTTAGAATGGCTAATATAAAATAAGTTTTCTGTTGAGGGTGGTAGCCCACACCTTTAATCCCAGCACTCAGAAGACAGAGGCAGGCAGGGCTCTGAGTTGAAAGCCAGCCTAGTCTACATAAAGAGTTCCAGGCTATCCAAAGCTACATAGTAAGAATCTGTCTCAAAAAATTAAAATAAAATAAATTTACACAAAATTCAATACACCTACGACAACTGCAATTTTCACTGAGGTCTTACATGTGATCACCACCACACTCAGATTGACCAAGCGGCTCCCTTCTGCCCCTGGAAGCCATATCCTCCAGCCTAGAAGCAGCCCCCAGTGATTTCTTTCCTCTCTTGCACAGATATTCTCCTTTCCTAAACTTAATACAAATGAACACATATATAATATAATTGTAATTTTATGTAGAACATAAATAGATTATTCATTTTTCTGTGTCTGGTTCCTTTTACTCAGCATAACATTTCTGAGATTCTTGGATTCTAATATCACCCTATCCCTTTCTGGTTAAGTGGCTTTGGGCAATGTACCTGACCCCTCTAATATGTCTCCTCATTTTTAAAATGTTAATACAAGAATGCTTGATAAGAATTTTGGAGTATGACACGGGCTCATCACAGTATCTTCCACTTATAGGATGACAACTGTCCCAGTTTGCTCGGGGCTAGGGGTTTCCTGAGACATGGGACGGTCTGTGATAAAATCTGCAGTCTCAGGCAAACCAGGATGGCTGGTCACTCTATCAGTGATGTCAAAGTGAGGATGCTGGTCACTCTACCAGTGATGTCCAAACCAGGATGGCCAGTCACTTTACCAATGATGTCCAAACCAGGATAGCTAGTCACTCCATCAGCCATGTCCAAACCAGGATGCTGGTCACTCTACCAGTCATGTCCAACCTACAGTCTCTGGGCCACATGTGGCCAAAGACAGTGAAGAACATGGCCCAACACAAAATCATATACTTATTCAAAACACTGGGTGTGGGGTTGCAGGTTTTTGTAAGTCAATTGTGTGGTTCTCAAGTTTGCATTTTGTAGATGGCAGCCTCATGTTGCAGTATCAAAAGGTTGGCCACCACTGCTAGTGACCACTCAATAAATGGCAGGTGTAGAAAGCAAGTGATTATAAAACCAAGTGCATTGGGCCAACCTCCTCCAAGGCTTAGCAATGTGTTTGCAAAGCCATCTGTTGTAGAACTTAGGAGAATAAGGCCTGTGTTCATTGGTTTAATGGGGCCTCTGCTAATTTAGCTGCCCAAACTCAAACCATAGACACTTCAACCCTGCACAAATCTAGAACTTCCACCTGGGAGCTGGTCTTACTTGTGAGTGAGTGGAGGCCTGCTGGGTCCTCTCTCCTCTGAACACAGCTAGAGAAACTACCTGCTGAGCTCCCCCTCTTCCTCCTCCTCTTCCACCATACCAAAGTAATCCTTTACTTGGATTATGTTCTGATTACACTACGGTCTTAACAGCTAGATTCCCAGGATTCTAGAAGCATAGTATCCAACACTGTAAGAAGATATGCTCAGGGCTGGTGAGATGGCTCAGTGGGTGAGGGCACTTGATGCCAAGCCTAACAACCTGAGTTCAATTCCTAGGACCCACATGGTGGAAGGAAACAGCCAGCTCCAACAAGTTGTTCTCTGACCTCCACATGCATGCTGTGGGACACACACACACACACACACACACACACACACACACACACACACACATTAAATAATATTAATTTTGGGGGGTCTTTTTGAGAAAAATTAAAAAAGAAAGCATTCTCAACAGGAAATAGAGTTAGCAGTACCCGGCTTACCTGCTTGGTGGTGCCACAGCCAGTGTAGGGAATTGTGAATGTCACCTGCTCCTGTGTTATCTGGGGCCGACACTGGTAGTTCCAGTTCCAGTTAGGGATGACAAGGCTCCAGGCAGAATAGCCCAAGGCCTGGAGATAGCTCCTGCTCACGCTGGCTCGCATGTGGTTCGGCAAACAGAGGAGACCTGAGGAACGAGAGCAGAGAGGACACTGAGTCAGGACCCCACACCCTCCCCTTACTCTAGGGACCTTCCCCAGGTAAAGGTGGGAGGTCAAGATGGCTGATGCAGATGCTCGGCCCATGAGATACACGCTTACGCTGTAGTCACTATGGCCCCAGGGTGCCCTGTGGCTCCTGTCAGCCCCACCCACACGAAAGCCTAATGAGGGCACCTGGACTTAGGCTTCTCTGATGGAGAACTGGAGACAAGATTTTAAATAATCAAAATGTTTTGTCAAGTTTTCATTTACATACAAAGTAAATCAGTTCTACACTCAAACAGCAGCAATTTCATAAAGTGAGGTCAGTTAGCTACACAGAAAGTCAATGCCTCCAGCCCTGACTGTATAAAGACCCGGGGCACCACTTTGCTCAAATCTTGACCAATGTAGATATAGGTCCATATAGCATCTCAAACTGGGGCCACATGACCTCTGCTGGAGTGGCTATCCATCTCAAGTTGTCCAACTCTGTCCACCTTCAGACAGAAACCAAATACCTTAGGTCTCAGAACATGTCCAGTGCCCCACACTCTGGGAAACTAACAAAGCTTCCAGTCTGGTGGTCACCTACTATCTTTAACATTGATTTCTCACTAACTGTGTTCTCTCTGTCTCTCTGTCTCTCTGTCTCTCTCTCTCTCAGAAATCAAGCATGGTGAGCTGGTGGGGCCACTCTCATCACTTCATAACTGCTGCACAGTGGAAAAATAAAAGACTCCCAGTTTATCTTAGCCCCCAGTGCCAGCATTCGTTCCCACAGGGGACTTACTAGTGGTGTCATTGGCATAGATCGAGTAGTACTCAGCCTGGAACCCTCTCCGTGTCACACTGCCATCAGTGATGAAACGAATCGACATGAAGTTCGATGTTGAGGTGAAGGATCCTCTGGCTCCATCACAAACCCGAGCAATGAGAGGGGAACTTTTGTAGGGACCATCGAAAACCTGGATGTAATCGTAGTTGCAACCGCCTTCAAGCCTTAAGAGACAGAAAATGCAGTTAGCTCATCTTTTGTCCAGAACTGGACCCAGGGACCTAGATCTCAGGAATCCACACTGACAAAGTCTAACAGTTGAAAGAAAAGGTTCCTTAAATCCTGGAGGAATTCATCTTTTCAAGACCACCATGGCTAGGTCTTAGTCCTCCCTTTTCAGCTTACATGTATGACACCTGGAGCTCCTCTCCCTGACTGCCCTTTAAGTCAACAAAGGAACTTCTTACATCCTGATTTAGAGCATGTTGGTTCTATCTGAGAGTCCCAAGTTCCACTCCAAAATAAAAGAAATGTCCGTGAGTTCATACCGATAGAAATAAACACGCAGAGAGATAAGCACACGGCAAACCACTGACCCTCTCTGAAGGTCAAGTTTCGTATTTACAAAGGTAAAACATCATACTCCACGCACACTGAAAAGTGCTGTGGTGAGGCCCTAGATCAAATAGTGCATGCAAAAAAAGTGCTTCATAAAACATCATGGATGGTGTTGGGCACTGTTGATGGGGTGCCAGCTAGCGAACCAGTCTGGGTCAGCCTTTGAGTGCTGATCTAATGAGCTTCAGATGCTCCCCTTTAATCCAGATTAAAATCTGAATTCCTAAGGCAAAGACTTTGAAGGCCACTGCAAAAAGAAAGCTAGAGAGGGCCTAGGAGCACAACTGAGTTGGTAAAGTGCTTGCTTAGGATGTGTATAGCCGTGGGATCAATCCCCAGCACCACATAAACTGGGTACACACCTGAACCCCAGAACTTGAAGGGTGGAGAGAGAGAAGAACTAAAAGTTTAAGGTTATCCTCAGCTACCTAGAAAATTCAAAGGCAGCCTGGGATGCATGAGAACTTGTCTCAAAAAAGAGGGAAGAAGAAGAGGAGGTGGAGGATGAGGAGAAGAAAGAAGAGG